ACTGATTGGCTGCCCTCCACACAACCCCAACCAGGGCTGGGATCAAACCTACAATCCAGGTATGTGCCCTTAACTGGGAATCAAACCCGAGACTCTTTGGTTTACAGGCCAATGCTCTAACCGTTGAACCAAACTGGCTAGGGCTACCTTTAATTTCTTGAGTAAACTCCATACTGTTTCTCATAGTGGCTGTACCAGTTTACCTTGCCACCAACAGAGTACAAGGGTTCCCCTTTCTCCACATCCTCACCAGCATCTGTCATCTTTTGTCTTTTTGATAAAAGACATTCTAACAGGTGCAAGATGATATCTCATAATGGTTTTGATATGAATTGCCCTGATAATTTGTAATGTCCAGCACCTTTTCATTTATCTGTTGGCCACTTATGTCTTCTTTGGGAAAATGTCTATTCTGGTCCTTTGCCTATTTTTTAATTGGGTTGGGTATTTTTTATGTTGTTATTGTTTTTTGGCCTCTGAGTGTTTTTTTAATCCTCAGCTAAGGATATATATATATATATATATATATATATATATATATATTTTTTTTTTTTTTTCTCATTTATCTTCAGGTAGAGTGGGAGGAAGAGAGAAACACTGATGGGAGAGGCACACTGACTGGTTGCCTCCCACATAACACCGACCAGGGCCGGGGACCCAACCGCAAGCAAGGTACGTGCCCTTGACTGGAATCGAACCCACAACTCTTTAGTCCACGGGCAACACTCTAATAACCCCTGAGCCAAACTGGCCAGGACTGGCCTCTGAATTTTTTAAGTTCCTTGTATATTTTGGATATTAACCCCTTATCAGATATATGATTTGTAAATATTTTCTCCCAGTCAGTAGGTTGCCTTATTATTTTCTTGATGGTTTCCTCTGCTATTTAGAAGCTTTTTAATGTAGTTACACTTGTTTATTTTTGCCTGTTGCCTTTGCTACTGGTGTCAAATCCAAAAAAAATAATAATAATTGCCAAAGATAACATCAAGGAACTTGGTCAACCCTCTATATTTTCTTCTGGGAGATTTACAATTTCGGGTCCTAAGTTCAAGTCTTTAATCCATTTTTGAGTTAATTATTGTGTATGGTGTAAGATAGGGGTCCAGGTTCATTTTTTTGCATGTGACTATCCAGTTTTCCAAACTTCATTTCTTGATGAGACTATCCTTTCCATTATATATTCTTGATTCCTTCATCAAAAATTGACCATATATGCATGGATTTATTTCTGGGTTCTCTATTCTGTTCCATTTATTTATGTTTTTGTCTGTATGTCAATACCATACTGTTTTGATTACTACAGCATGGTAATATAGTTTGAAATCAGGATCTGTGATGCCTTCAGCTTTGTTGTTCTTTCTCAAGATTGCTTTGGCTATTTGGAGTCTTTGTGGTTCCGTATGAATTTCAGGATTTTTTTTTCTATTTCTGTGAAAAATGCCATTGGAAGTTTGATAGAAGTGGCATTGAATCTGTATATCACTTTCGGTAATACAGACGTTTAAACAATATTAATCCTTCTAACCTATGGACACAGAATTATCTTTCCATTTATCTGTGTCATCAATGTCTTATAGTTTTCAGTCAACAGATTTTTCACCTTTTTGGTTACATTTTTTTTTAAATTGATTTTAGAGAGAGAAAGAGTGTGGGAGAAGAGAGAAAGAAGGAAACATCAATTTCTTGTTCTACTTATTTTTTTACTCAATGGTTGATTCTTGTATGTGCCCTGACCAGGGATCAAAGTCACAACCTTGGTGTATTGGAATGACATTCTAACCAACTGAGCTACTCTGCCAGGGCCTCCTTGGTAAAATTTATTGTTAAGTGTCTCATGCTTTTTGATGCTATTGTAAATGAGATTGTTTTAATTTCTCTTTCTGACAGATTGTTCTTAGTGTATAGAAACATAACTTATTTTTGGATATTGATTATATATCAATATATACAATTATATATCAACTTTACTTCAATTGTTCATTAGTTATGCAGTTTTTTGGTATAGTCTTAAAGTTTTCTATATATGATATCACATCATCTGCAGTTTTACTTCTTCCTTTCAGATCTGGATGTTGTTAACTTCTTTTTCATGCCTAATTGGTCTGGCTATGACTTCTAGTAATATGTTCAATAAAAGTGGTAAAAAGTGTCCCTGGCCAGTGTGACTCAGTTGGTTGGAGCATCGTCCCAGACACCAAAAGATGCTGGGTTCTATTCCTGTTGAGGGCACATACCTATATTGCAGGTGCAATTCCCAGCTGGGGCACATACTAGAGGCAGCTGATTGATGTTTCTCTCTTTCTCTCCCTCTTCCCCTCTCTCTAAAATCAATAAGCATGTCCTCGGGTGAGGATTAAAAAATAATAAAAATAAATAAAAGTGGTGAGAGTGGGCATCCCTGTCTTGTTCCTGATCTTATTTTTTTCCCCTTTACTGATTTTAGAGTAAAAGGAAGGGAGAGGAAGAAAGAGATAGAAACACTGATGAGAGAGAACATCGACTGGTCACCTGCTGTACGCCCCTCTCACTGGGGATCGGGCCCACAAACTGGGCATGTGCCCTGACTGGAAATCGAACCTGCAACCTCTTGGTGCATGAGTTGATGCTCAACCACTGAGCCACACCAGCTGGGCAGCTTTCAGCTTTTCACCATTGAGTATGATGTAAGCTGTGGGTCTGTCATATTTGGTCTTTATTATGTTAGGTATATTCCCTCTATACCAAGTTTATTGAGAGTTTTTATCATGTAAAAAGGTTGAATTTTGTCAGATACTTTTTTTCTATCAAGGTGATAAGATCTTTATTCTTCATTTTGTTAATGTGGTATATCATAATGATTGATTTGCAAATGCTGGACCGTCCTTGATCCCTGAAATAAATTCCACTTGATCATGTATGATCCTAATGCATGGTTCAATTTGGTTTACTGATATTTTTTTGAGGAGTTTTACATCTATGTTCATCAGGGATATTGGTCTATAATTTTTTTCCTTGTAGTGTCCTTGTCTGGCTTTGGTATCAGTGTAATGCCAGACCTTAAAATGAGTTTGGAAGTGTTCCCTGTTCTTCTACTTTTTGGAAGAGTTTGAGAAAAATTGTTGTTAGCTCTTCTTTAAAAATTTGGTAGACTTCTCCAGTGAAGACATCTGATCCTGGAAGTTTCTTTGCTGAAAGGTTTTCACTGATTAGATCTCCTTACTAGTAACTGGTCTGTTCAGATTTTCTATTTCTTTTCTTTTTTATTTTTTAATCCTCACCTGAGGATATTTTTTCCATTTATCTTTAGATAGAGTGGAAGGGCGGTGGGGAGAGAAACATCGATGTGAGAGAGACACATCAATTGGTTGCCTCCCACAGAACCCCGACCAGAGCCAGGGACAAACGGCAACCAAGGTACATGCCCTTGATGGGAACTGATCACGCGACTCTTTGGTCTGCGGGGCCAATGTTCTAACCGCTGAGCAAACTGGTCAGGGCCAGATTTTCTATTTCTTCATGATTCAGTCTGAGGTTATATACTTCTAGAAATGTATGCATTTCTTCTAGATTGTCAAATGTGTTGGCATATAACTGTTCATAGTACTCTTTAATGATTCTTTGTATTTCTGAGATGTCAGTTAAAACATTTTAATTTTTTTAAATGTATTTATTTTTTGTTTTGTTTTGTTTTGTTTTGAGAGCTAGAAACATCAATGTGAGGAGAAACATCGATCAGCTGCCTCCTGCACACCCTCTACCAGGGACTGAGCCCACAACCCAGGCATGTACCCTGACCAGGAATCAAACTGGGACCTCTCAGTCCATGGGACAATGCTCAATCCACTGAGCCACACCAGCCAGGCTCATTTATGATTTTATTTATTTGGGCTCTCTCTTTTTTCTTGATGAGTTGGGTTAAAGGTCTGTCAATGTTATCTATCTTTTCAATGAACAAGCTTTGGTTTCATTAATTTTTTTCAATTTCTATTTTATTTCTGCTCCAATCATAGTAATTTCTATTTCTTCCCTTCTGTTTACTTGGGGTTTTTTGTTCTTTTCCTAGTTCCTTTAAATGTAAATTTACTATTTGGGCTTTTCATTGTTTCTTGAGGTAGGCCTGGATGAACTTCCCTCTTAGAACTGTTTTTGTTGCAAATTTTGAAAAGTTGGTGTTTTCCTTTTCATTTGTTTTAGCATAGTTCTTGATTTCCTCTTTGGTCCACTGGTTGTTTAATAGCATGTTGTTTAGTCTCCACGTATTTGTGTTTTTTCCACTTTTTCTACTGCAGTTGATTTCTAGTTTTATGCCATTGCGGTTGGAAAAGATGCTTGATATGATTTCAATCTTCTTCAATTTATTAAGGTTTGTTTTGTTGCATAATATATGATCTATTATGAAGAATGTCCCATTTGCACTTGCAAAATGTTCTATAAACATCTATTAAATTCATCTGGTCTAATGTGACATTATTTCCCTATTAATTTTCTGTCTGAATGATCTATCTACTGCTGTGAGTGGGGTATTAAAATCCCCTATCATTACTGTATAACTATGTTACACAGCTTTTTAAGTATTATTTTATTTTTTAAAAAGTTTTAATTAAAAATGTTATTTTACAAAGAGCTTTTAATAATTTGAGAAAATACTCAAGATATAATATAAAAGAAGCAAATAAAGCAACAGACAAAATTACATATATATTTTTGTTTTAAATATTTTTTAGCACATAAAAGAGACTGGAGAGGAATCTTCCAAAATGTTATCAGTGGTTGCAGTAACTACCTCCTGATAAGAAATTAGGAATTTTTCCTGTTTTTGTATTTTAAAAATACTTACTGGCTGTGTGATTAAAACCCTAACCACAATGTACTGAAACTAGTAATACAAAGAACCATGTTAACACTCAGATTATAATTAATTCTGCAAAACAATGGAAAATGGCCTCAATGAAATAATAAAGCACAACCACCACTGAACGTATCCAAAAGATAAGAGTACAGTACTCTCTTTAACATACCTGTGAATCTGTCCATTTTTATGCAGGTATTCCAACCCTTCCAATACTTCTTTGAGTATTGTAGCAATGGCAGGTTCATCTAGGACTCCACTTTTGTGTTCCCCCTTCGCCACAATGTGCTTAATAATATCCAGAACAGAACCTGAAAACAAAAGACACAGTTTTCCATAAATGTTTAACTTATTCAATGATTTAGAGCAATTTTGAAATAAAAACACATGTAAACCTTTTGATAAATTTAATTGTGTGGAAAAGAAAAATAGCAAATATAAGGAAATACAAAAGTTTAAGATAAATAATTTGTTCTCAATTCCAATCTAAAACAGCTCTGGCCGATTTGGCTCAGCAGTAGAGTGTAAACAGAAAGAAGCCTGCTAATATCCAAATAGCAGTGTTCGCCAGCATCATCTTCAAACTTCTAATGAGAATTTGGAAAAGGTAATGGAGAATACCTAGGTTAACCATGTCCATCAATGAACACTTTAATATATCACAAACCAATTTAAGCTCCAACACCAGATTAGAGTATGCAACATTTTGTGAATAAAGATAGAAAAATACAATTGAAATGCAAATCAAATTACAGACGAAATACTTGAAAAGTAAAGATCACATGTGTATTCAAACTAACTTAAGGGTTAAAATTATGTTTCAGGCTAATAAATAATAGAAATAAAATAGAAAAGGCAAAGAAAAATATAAAAAAATTAAAATGGTAGTTCTCTTTAAATAACAGCCCAGATGTATTATCAATCCCATTCTTCCCAGCACGAAAAATAATGGTCCTACTAAAAATTAGAAAAGGGGGTGGGGGAAGATACATACATAGTAATTAAATCATAGAATGCTGACTATCATAACTGATGATTATAATTTGTAACAGTTTGGTAGAGATTTGTAAGATTTCTGGTAGTACAATGGCCCATGAAGTTCGCAGAACCAAAACAAAACTATCTTCATTATTAGAAATTGTAACAAGAAATCTGGAACATAATGTAAACTGCACTGAAAAGAGTTGATGCCTATTTCTTGGCACAAGACCTTAATGATCAAGACTAAAATTAAAATAAACACATGCTTCTGTTGAAAACTTGCCCTGGTGGGTGCTTTTTATTTCACACTTAAAAAGCAAAAAATGTACTTCCAAATAGATGAAAAGAAGTGGTCTAGCCCTGGCCAGTTTGGCTCAGCGGTTAGAGTGTCAGCCTGCGGTCCACAGAGACCCGGGTTCGGTTCCCGCTAAGGGCGCGTACCTCAGTTGCAGTTTGTCCCCGGTCCTGATTGGGGTTCTGTGGGTGGCAACCAGTTGATGTGTCCCTTTCACGTCGATATTTCTCTCTCTCTCTCTTCCTCCCTCTCTCCCTCCTGCTCTATCTGAAGATAAATGCAAAAATGTCCTCAAGTGAGGATAAAAAAAAAGGGAGGAGGGCATAAACCAAGAACAAAGACAAGAACAAGAATAACAGAAGAGAGACGGTAATACTTTTTTTGGAAGAAGAAAAGCAGAAAAAGAAAAAGTAAACAGAGTGGAGAAATCTGAAACTTCAAAGCCTATAGAGAAAGTAATTAGGAAAAAGTGATCTCTACCTAGAGCTTCAGCAAGACTCAGAATATAAGGACCACAAAAAGGGGACGTGAGGGGGACTGAAGGAAAGGGTTGAAAACAGAAAACTGGTCGAAAATTCATATAAGGGAGAATAAGATTCCCAGATCCCACCTCCCCCTCTGGAAGCTAGGCCACTCTGTACCTTTAGCAGGAGACTGGGCAATTTATTCTAAGTAGAAAAAGAACCAGGGAGGCTCCAGATACTAGGTAACTTCTCCTAGTACATTACCTCACTTCCCCTCTTGACTACGGGATTCACAAGACTGCTCCACAAAGGGGGAGGCCATCACCACCCTGAAGGCATTCTGATCTCCACAAAGTAGGAGGCTTAAGGGATAACTTTTGTTCTTAACTTAATCAAATCACACATTAATCCCCAAAACAAAGTGACTATGCTAACAGGCCACACAATTCATTCTCCTGAGAAATCTAGGACACATAAGAAATGCTCAGGCCCTGGCCTGTTTGGCTCAGCGGTTAGAGCGTCCGCCTGCGGTCTGGAGAGACCCGGGTTCGGTTCCCGCTAAGGGCATGTACCTTGGTTGCAGTGTGTCCCCGGCCCTGGTTGGTCGTGCGGGTGGCAGCCACTCGATGTGTCCCTTTCACATCGATGTTTCCCTCTCTCTCTCTCTTCCTGTCTCTCCCTCTCGCTCTATCTATACAAAAAATGGAAAAATGTCCTCGGGTGAGGATAAAAAAAAAAAAAAAAAGAAATGCTCAGTAAGACAGCTGTATAAACGCCAGTAGAGTTGCATGTTTGTAATGTAAAGAATATCTAAAATAAGAAATGCAAAGGTAGAAATTCCCACCAGAAATTAAAAATTAACACAGTTTATTCATTCAACAATTAAACCATATTAATAGATTGTATTATATATAAGAAGCCCCTGTGCCATGGCTGGTTTGGCTTAGCAGTTAGAGTGTCAGACTGTGGACTGAAGGGCTGTGGGTTCCATTCCCAGTCAAGGGCACATACCTGGGTTGCAGGTTCGATCCCTGGCCCCAGTCAGGGTGTGTGCGGGAGGAACCAATCGACATGTCTCTCTCACATCGATGTTTCTCTCTCTCTCCCCCTCACCCCCTTCCATTCTCTCTGAAAATCAATGGAAAAAACATCCTTGGGTGAGGATTAAAATAAATAAATAAAGAAGCCCCTGTGATAACAATGTCTTTTCAGTTTCAGTCTCCCAACAATATAATTTTTATAAGTGGAGAGATGATCAATTCACTGAGATCAGCATCCCTGACTGAAAAATACTGGACAGTCTCCCCTTCTTGTCCTTATGGTTTCCTCAGCATGTCACAGCATCTGACACTGCAAGCACTTCTTTCTCTTTCCTTTCAAAAGCTTTCTAATTATGTTGATGTCTAAAAATCTTATATGGTGCTGCTAAATTGTAGAAATAACTATTTAGATCAAAAGTGCTTCAGCCCTGGCTGGTTTGGCTCAGCGGTTAGAGTGTCGGCCTGTGGTCAAAAGAGTTGCGGGTTAGATTTCAGAAGGTCAAGGGCACGTACCTTGGTTGCAGTTCTGTCCCCAGCCCTGGTCAAGTCGTGCAGGAGGCAACCAGTCTGTGTCTCTCTCACGTCTTCGATGGATTTTCTTTCTCTCTCTCTCCCTCCCTCCCCTCCCTTCCTCCTTCCCACTCTATCTGAAGGTATATGGAAAAATATCCTCAGGTGAGGATTAAAAAAAATAAATTTCTAAATATAAACTAATTTCTAAATATAAACTTCCTATACTGATAAATCTCACTATTCAATATCAGAGTTTTAATTAGCAAAAGAAAAGAATATTATAGTTATAAGAAAGCATTATGAAATAATGATAATACTGACACACCGAAACTTATTTAAACCATGATGTCCAGCTGGTTGATGGGTTTGAGAGTGACAGTTGCAATTCACTTTACGATTTAATTAGCTTATTAAATTCTACATCAGTACAATGTTGCCAAATCAAAAATATGCTTTTGTTTTAAATGTTTGGCTGGAAAAGTTGATATGAAAGAAGGCAGCCTATATATTTTTCTTTCTGTTAACTCTGGTTATATATATTTTCAAATTATTCAGAGGTCTCCTGTTACTCATTCTGCTCCAGCTGTGATTCCCCCATCAGTTCCCAAGACACATCACACTCTTCAATCCTGCCTCCAGACAGTTCTCTGTACCGTGTCCCCTCTATCTGGACCCCTTCTCCATCGTTCCCTGATATCATCTCCATCTGTCTCAGCTGAATCTCACCTCCTGAGGGAAGTCTTCATTAACCTCACCACACCCATTCTCCCTCAATAAGGTGAGGTTCTCCTGGTACTTGTTCCCATGGCACCTAATACTTCTTCAAGGCACTTTACACACTCATAATTATTTAACTCTAACTTTTCCTGGCTAGCCATGAGATGCATAAGAGCAAGAAACCAACAGTTTGATTCACCAATGTACTGATGATCAATAAGTATTTGATATATGGAGTTTCAATTGAGCTATCTTAACACAGTTTCCTCTTATTAAATAAAATAGAAGGTGTGCTTAGTTCTATCTACTGTGTTCTCATATTGCATAACATTTCTCTAAAGGTTAAGTGTGTATTCACTCTATAACTACAAAAGATTTCATTTTCTTTAAAAAGATGCAAAATTTAATATAAGGGTCAGATGTAAAATTTTGCTGACTCATGAAAATAAAAGTAATTATAAAAAGAATTAATGCCTAAAACATGTTAGAAAATTATCCTCCAGGAAATCTGCTTAGTGCTAAGCTAAAAAATTGGGTACTGTCCTAAGACCAGGAGGGACAGAGAGGTACATTTAAAAGACACCACCCAGACACATGTCCTGCCCCATCTGTGTTCAGGACATATACTCACTAAGAGAACATGGATTCTTTAAAAATAGATACATATCATTCTGCTTAGCAGTGTAGCAGAAAGAATAGGCCGGCATACAAGTGTGGATGAGAAAACTAAGCAGACAATTTATTCCTATTCATCAGAGGACTTTTTAGAAAACATCAAAAACTTTGTATTATACATTTTTGTAAATTACAATACAGAAAGTATGCTGTAAGTGATCAATAATGAAAGATACAGTATTACCTAATATTCCCATATCTGTCCATAGTGAAAGAACCATGCTTGACCACCATCTTGAAAGGTGGTTGGTGTTAGCAAGGCTTCCAACCATCATATGAACAGGGCCTTTAACAAAGCAATCCAGTTTCTCCAGTGTGTCACTAATGGGATTGAAACAAAAAGGTGATTCTGGCTACACTGAAAAGCATCAAATAACAAGGGATTATTATTCTTAATGACTAAAATTTCTTGTGCACCTTACTACATGTCAGCATGATGGTGGAGGCTTTACAAATATCATCTCATTTACTCTTTCCCAATACCCTGAAATGCAGAAAGGTATCCCCATTTAACAAACAAGTAAATGGGTTCCAAGAGTTGAAATAGTTTGACCAATGACATACTTTTCCTAAGTAGAAAAGTTAAGGTTTAAAAAAAAATTTTTTTTTTCAAATTCTTTTTTCCTTTACTGATTTTAGAGAGAGAGGGAGAGAGAGATAGAAACATCAATGAGAGAGAACATCAACTGGCCACCTTCTGCATGCCCCCACTGGGGATCGGGCCCACAACTTGGGCATGTGTCCTGACCGGGATCGAACAGGCGGCCTCTTGGTGCATGGGTTGACACTCAACCACTGAGCCACATCAGCCGGACGAGGATTTAATTCTAAAGCCTATGCTCTTTCCTTTACAACCTCTCTGGGGAAGTAAAGTGTTTAATGAGGTATGATATTAAAATTGCAAAAAATATGGACTCTCTTTTCTGTAACCCTGAATTCTAAAATGGGAAATGATGCTCCCACACAAAATACATATGCAAACAAAACCAAGCAGCATAGTGATGGGAAAATCAGGCGGCTCCCTCTCTCACTAGTCCTCACTAGTCCTCTTGCTCCTGCCACAGGATTCAAATCCACGCCTTAGCAAAATGTCTAATTTACTGCATGCATGAGCCTTCAGGTAACAGGAACAAAATGTCCAATCTATACTTGCCAAGGGCCCACTGTTTGTAATCACAATACTTACATTTTATTCTAAGGACCAAAACAGAAATAACTGCATATTTACTGCAGGATAATGCACATAATTTATCATGTTAATGCTGGGTACCTGACAAATTGATTGATTCGAACAGGGATCAAGATTTTCTGTGTAAGAGAAACAAGATTCAAGTGTAATTTGAAAGTTTTAAAGGTCTGTAATATTAAACTTGAATTGGAAGCATTAATGTCAAACCATGAATTATTTTTAATATACATTTCCAAGCTCTTTGAACTAGAAACGATGACAAAGTAGCTACAAAGAGCATCCCAAGCACCCAAGTTATGCTTTCTAAGTACCATTCCCTATAAAAAAGATCAGAGCATGTTAGAATATTGGCTGGTTCTGGGTGTGGGAACAGCAATAGAAACATGAGCCTAGGAAATCTTGAACCAAAAAACAAGAAAGTTATCAAAGATTGATGGATTCATGTCAAAAGGACACAAGAGTAAGCTTGAAGTGACTCCCACTGACAAAATTTTGGCCACCTGAGCATCAAAGTATAACTGTTTGAAAGATATTGAATATATAAATATCCTTGAGTCTATATAATAATACTCCAAAAAGTGACAGCCTTACCCAATGGGAGGTGGGGGGACCCTCTAATTTGCTACCACTGGAGGTGATTATTAAACTAACTCTTTAATATACAGATTATAATTTCCTCTAATATATAGATTACAATACTGATTAATCAAAGAGCCCCAGTTAGTAAGGTAAAGTTCCTTTACACAGAAGAATGCCAGTTTATACATGTAAAAGAAAGGATGCAGTAAGAAAAACCACCATTCTGCAATCCCTGACAAACTGATTGATTTATTTTTAACAGGGATCATTAATGGATGCTAATAACTTTAGAGAAAAGACTTAGAAGGAACTAGATACTTACAGTGCCAAAGTATTATCTCACAAATTACCTGCTAGCTGCAAAGGGAAAACAAAGTTAACCATTCCATGAAGCAGCCTATCATAATCTTAAGAAATCAAAATTAACATCACCATTAAAATTACAACCAGGTAACAAATACTTCATGACATCATGTGCTATGAAGTACACGGCATCACCTACAAAACACTGTGTCAAAAATATTTAACTTAAATCTAATCAAGGCTTTAGATATAATTTTCAATTTGCAAGAAATAGAGGAATATAAATGAAGTTACACATCCCCATAAAGAAATAACGAGATATATTCTACAAGATAGTTACCATCGACCTTACAGACCAGACCCTTAACAAATGCATGTCATGAAAGAGAGGAAGTAGGAGGGAACCACCCTAGATTAAGAGAAATGTAAGAGGCATGACAAATGCAATGTGTGAGACCTGTCTCAGCTCATACACTAGCATTGTTAGCAGATCCTATATTCTCAGTATCTTCTCAAATGCAAATGTCCATGAAAACCAGAAAAGAATATTTTTATGAACTTTCTAACCCATGAAGGTTAACATTTCACTGTATTTTACTCACCGCCACTTAGCAGCTTCATGACTAGCCACAGTTCATCTTTTACTACAAAAGACGTGTAGTAAGACACAATATTAGGATGATGGCACTGACTCATGGCTTGAATTTCTTTCTACAAAAAAGAGAAAACATGGTAACTCATTATATGCAAGCCTAAAACAATACAACAAGTTAGTGAATACAGACTGGAAATACTTCCCAAGACTGTGTCCAACCTTTCTGGAATCTCCATGGCCCTGATCACTTCAAGAACAGTTAAAACCAAAAACTACTTAGTTTCCCTCAGTCTTTTCTGACTCTATTCCTTCCAGTCGCCACACTAGTAATCTCTGAAACTAGAATCATGCACTATTTACCACACCCTGGCCTGGCACAGTACCACACAGGCCTCCACAGAGACACATATTTTTACTTCAAGGTGCCCTTGAGAAACCATCTTGGGAAACCTGGTTTTACAGCTAGAGAGGATAAGTACTAATAAACAGAGGGTGTTTTTTTGTTTGGGAGTTATTTCTTTCTTTAAAAATATTGTTTCATCCCATTTTTGTGAAATGATTAACAATTTTCACTCTACAGAGAATTACACTGAAACAGGGCAAGGTCATAAACTAAATCCAAGGTAGAAACCTGAGCCAAAAGTGTTTACACAATCTTCGTTAATGAATTTAAATTACATCTGGTGTGATAAAATGCCTTAAAAAAGCACTGTGTGATCAGGGTCCTGCTTACCTCACTAGTCTCATTCCTACTCCCCTCAATTTTATACCCCAACATACCCCAGTCCTATGATCCAGCCACAGTAACTTCAAGCGAGTCATACTTCTAACTGTGGACATTTAACTCAACTGTTCCCTCCGCCTCAAATCTGCTCCCCTCATTATTTCTACCACCTAAAAATGCAAATTCTTCCTTCTGAACTCAGTCAAAATACCATTTCCTCCAGGCTCCCCACACTGAGTTAGGTATCCCTTCTTCTGGCTTCTAATCTTCCTGTATATGTCCCTACATCATGGCACACATGTACTGAATAGTACCCTGGGGGTTTATTCCATCTGTCCCCCCTTGCTAGACAAAGAGCCCCTAGATGGCAAGCACTAAAAAGTGAATTCCTAAACACTGTGGAACTTGGCATACTATACTATAATTGTCTATTTATTTTTCTCTACTCCTCACAAAACTGTAAACTCAATGAGAACTAAGACTCTATTTCTGGCACTTATCAGTGTGCCTGGCACACAGCACACCTTCCATAAACATTTGTTGAATGGATGAATCCTACATCACTTTATACAGCTTTTTACTGATTCATGCATTTGCCCTATGACCCTGGTATCTGTTTAGTAAAATCAATTGTGTAAAAGTTGCCCACAATCCCTGATTCATAAGAAGTGCTCAATAAATGCCAGCTTTTCTTTTCTCATTTTCTCTACTTAAATGTAAATTGCTTTGTGGCAAGGACCTTGTTGTATGTATTTCTGCACCCCAGTCACCAGCACAATCTTCTGTACTAAAAGCTAAGTAAATATGAAGGAAAAGGAAGAAGGAACTAAAGTAAGCACCTGCCTGCTGACATAGTTATACAGGATTCGAAGAGATAAGATAAGCACACGCAGGACAGCACATACAGGCCAAATGAGTAATAAAGATAATAAATGTTACAAAAATCCACAGGAAATAGTTAAGGTAGGCAAGAAGTCTTCACAGAGGAGGTGGAAACTAGGTTTAGTTCTGCTGGATGTGGAGATATTACAATAGTACAAGGTGAAAGGCATATATAATTAAAAAAAAAAAAAAAGGATGAAATATGCAGGAGAGATTATAGGACACAATGAGTAAACCTGTCTGGGGTTTCAACAGATATTTACCAAGTGCCTACTGTATGCCAGGCACAATGCGAGGTGCTTGACCACCATGGTGAGCCCTCATGAAACTTACAGTCTAGTGAAGAAGTTAGACAAATACTAATTTATAGCACAGACCGATTAACAGTTTGATAGGGGAAGTACAAGATACATGACTTCATCTGAGAGACAAATTATAAAAAACTAGGAGTGATTACCAGGGAAGGTTTCCTATTAAAAACTTCAATTCTCTCCAGCTGGTGTTGCTCAGTGGTTGAGCATGGACCCATGCACCAAGAGGATGCTGGTTCAATTCCCGGTCAGGGCACATGCCCACAGGGCCTGATCCCCAGTAGGGGGCATGCAGGAGGTGGCTGATCAATGTTCTCTCTCATCGATGTTTCTCTCTCTCTCTCTCCCTCCCACCCTCCCTCTCTCAAATCAATAAATAAAAAATAAATTAATTAAAAACAAAATTCAATTCTGCTGACATTTAAATAGGAAAGATAAACAGGTTTTTACTTGTTTAGTTACCTTGGACTGTATCAAAAAGGACCATATAACTATGTTCAAGAATTTAGGTTTCGGGTCCTGGCCGGTTTGGCTCAGCAGTTGGAGCATCAGCCTGCGGACCAGAGAGTACCGGGTTTGGTTCCCTCTAGGGGCACGTACCAAAAAAAAAAAAAAATTAGGTTTCATCTTTACAGCAACGGTTTAACTATATATATATATATATATATATATATATATATATATATATTAAACTCAGTCTGGTTATAATGCAGAAAATAAAAGAGAAAAAGCAAGACCAGAGGCAAAGCCTCTGTTTAAAGCAGCTGCCGTGGTCTGGGTGAGAGACAATGGTAACCTGAAAAATGATAAAAAGCTAATTTCTCAGTTTTCATAACTGTTCTATGGTTATGCTACCATTAGATGTTGGGTGAACAGCATATGGGAACTTCTGTACCATTTTGTAGCTCTTCTGTAAATTTAAAACTATCTAAAAACAGAAAGCTTTTTTAGAAAGTGGCAATGAGTGAAAAGAAAGGTAGCCAAGAGATAATACTAAACAGGTATGAACAATAGGACTGGGAGAATAATTGGATGGGAGAGGTGAGAGAGAGAGAGAAATCACATGCACATAATGTAAAAAGTTGGGTCAAATTGTCCAAGGTCTTAACTGTTAAGCTAAGGGTTTTGAGCTTTATCCCGAAAAGGGAGTACTTACTATAAAGGGTTTTCTGATAAGAGACTCTCAGAGAACCTCAAAATTAAAAAATTAAAAGAGTCTTAAATATTCCTTTTCTTCAAGAGGGAGGAGGAGCCTTCCTTTATCTTAACTCCCATTGAAGATACCCTTTCCCTTTCCTTTCAAAAAATAATTATATATTAGTGCTCTGCAAAAAGTGATACATTCATTCTGACTCAAATTTCCCAGCAGCTTCCTCAACACTTAGAATTGAATTCCATTCATGCTAATGAAAGTGCTTTCTTCAAAGTCCTCTATTATCTGCTAATGCCAGATCTTATGTCTGGACTTTTCAGTACTCCACCTGAAGCTTTCTGAAGCAAATTATGACTTCCTATTTCTTCATGAAACTCACTCGTGTTGATTTCTACTATTTACTACCTGGTTTTCTAATTACCCCAGTACAGACAGCTTTCCTCCACTTCACACAATTCAGTCAGTGCTCAAGTAATGTTAATTCATTCATTCATTCATTCATTCATTCATTCATGTAGTGAACAAAATAGTCTCTGTCTTCATGAAGTGCTCATTCTAGTACAATTTTTCCATCTACAAAATGTATACGCAATCTGTGTCTTCCTTTCTATTATTTACTGTCCTTGACCAAATTTAGTCTCAGTTCCTCTTTGTGTAGTACTGTGTCCCTCAAACTATTGGTTGCAACTCATATGAGTCATGCAACTTAGTGGACTGTGTTAAAAACAAACAAAAAAAGGAAATAGAATAGAAAATCAGAGAGCATTCCACATAATATAAATAAAAAGTTTTATAAAAATATGTTATATTAATATATATGAATATACTATTCATTCCTGATTGTAAACCCCTGCTAAACAGAGTCTCCATCTCTGCCTGTTCAAAGTCTCCCCAGTCCTAGTGGCTCATGAAACAAGCATCTCCACAAGGCCTCCATCCTCATAATTGGGAGCTCTCCTTCTCCTCTTCCTTAGGAAAGGTATCTGATACCTTTCCTAGGCATCTGTCCTGCTCAGCCTTGGACAGCAGAGCATCTAGTCTTCAACTACATTGTGAGCCTCTTGAGGAGAAAAGACATTTTACGCCTCTTAATGTTCCCCTCAGATGTTTGCTCAATGAATCTAGTCCTAGCATATACTAGAGGAGAGAAAAATTTTAAAATACTACATTATGTGCCTTTGTTAGAGAAAAGCCTGTGAGTATAGTCTCTGGAGAAAAACGAATGTAGTAAGACTTGACAGGTGATTTTCCCATCACACTTTGCAAAGGTTGTCAGACAAGAAAACACTTTGACAAGAGAAAGGAGCAATACACTGCCTCCTCCGTAATGACTGTCACACATGACGCACACCTGCAGTCAGCACTCTCTGGAGAACCCAGAGCACCCTTTTTGTATTATAATAAAGGTAATTTTGAAAATAAATTTCAAAATCACCACATCTAAAGTTTACTGTGTTGATCGAGATTTTTTTAAGATAAATTAAGGAGCTTCCTATCTCCCAGAAATGGAGCCATGCCACTCGGACCACTGGTTCTGACACCATGGACACCACAAATAAATCAGGCATTATTTATACTCCTCATGTGTCTTCAGGGTTTAGTGGGATCTTCCCTGCTTGCCCTCCCCCTCCCCAAAAGCCAATTATCTTAAACTTGCTTTATTAAGTTCACTTCCTCTAACCCTTATTTGCCAAAAATATAAATACTACATTTACAACACAAAGCTTACTGGAATATGTGGCCAAAATTTATGGAGGTCTAACTAACATGTTTTCCTTTTATTAAGCTATATCAAATTCCCATTCCTCTAAAAGTAAGGCCCTGCTGTAATAATGGAAATATTATTTTTAAGACTTTCACCTGAGCCCTGACTGGTTTGGGACTCCGTTTCCCTTAGTCTTTGCAGAAGCCAATGCTGCCTGGGTCATTCTATCTCTCATCTCAAATCAATGGTCAGAATGCAGATTCAAACCATGTTCTTAGGAAGCCAAAAGCTTTTTAAAGGATATTCCATTTGATCCAGGAATCACAACTGCATGATACTATTTTAAGGGAAGAGAGAAGTAACCAAGTATCATTTATAACAATAAATAAGAGGAAGGAAAGTAATTAATTGTCCAATACCAGAGAACAGGGTAAATAAAGTGTGGTCTAGCCTGCCCAGTATAGCTCAGTGGACTGAACAGTGTCCCATGGGCTGAGAGGTCCTGGTTTAATTCCTGGTCAGGGTACATACCCAGCGTTGCAGGCTCGATCCCCATAGGGGTGTGCATAAGGCAGCTAATCCATGTTTCTCTCGCACATCAGTGTTCCTATCTTTCTCTCCCTTACTCTCTCTCTCTAAAAAAAATCAATAAAAATATATTTTTAAAAAAGAGTGTAGTCTACCTATTTAATGGGATACTACACACATATTGAAAATAATATTAGCCCTGGCCAGTTTGGCTCAGCGGTTAGAGTGTCGACCTGCGGTCCGGAGAGACCCGGGTTCGGTTCCCGCTAAGGGCACGTACTTCGGTTGCAGTTTGTCCCCGGCCCTGGTTGGTCGTGCGGGTGGCAGCCACTCGATGTGTCCCTTCACGTCGATGTTTCTCACTCTCTCTCCCTTCCTCTCTCTCCCTCCCACTCTATCTGTACAAAAAATGGAAAAATATCCTCGGGTGAGGATAAAAAAAAAAAAAAAAAAAAAGAAAATAATATTAATTCATATTTATTGACAGAAAAATTCTGTGATAAATTTTTCAATAAAAAGAATATATGATTACATTATCATAGATATACAAAGACATTTAAGTGTGTAGTCTAAAGATCATATAGCAAGTGTCAAACTCAGAATGTGAGGATTATAACTATATATTCTACTTACCTGAATTTATATATATTTTATAATAAACATTACTATAATGAAAAAAATCACAAACTTTAAAAAAAGGATTAAAAACTTCAAGTTATTTCCCACTCTTACATGAATGCACAAGACTATACCTCTCCACTTAAGAAACATGAGACGTGCATACCAGGAGCTCATCCATGCTAGTTTGACATTTCTCAAGGTTTATCCGTTTGATTGCCACTTTCTCCTTTTTTGGGGCACAATATGCTGCTTGGACCACAGCCGTTGCTCCACTCCCTAAAGATAAATACATAAATGAGTAAATAAACAGATGGTTAGATAAAAACATGACATTCCTAATTCCCACACAATTTAAATGAGAAGTTAATCCTTATCTTGTTCTTAAACTTAACAGATGTGGACGAATACTCTAAAAAGCTGGGTATCTATAAAAACAAAAGCCTTGCCCTGGCCAGTTTGGCTCAGCGGTTGGAGCGTCGCCCTGTGGTCGAGAGAGATCCGGGTTCGGTTCCCACTAAGGGCACGTACCTTGGCTGCAGTTTGTCCCCGGCCCTGGTTGGGGTCATGTGGGAGGCGGCCACTCAATGTGTCCCTTTCATGTCTATGTTTCTCGCTAGCTTTCTCTCCCTCCTACTCTATCTGAACAAAAAATGGAAAAATGTCCTCGGGTGAGGATTAAAGGAAAAAAAAAAAAGCAAAAGCCTTAACCATTTCACAGAATTGCCAATAAATACCAGTATAAAAAATAAAAATAAAAATTGCTAGGGTTCCAGTTCTAAAATTTGATGGTGCAGACCCTATTTCTCTGCTCCTCTCCTCTAAAAACAACTAAATATCCTAGAAATAATTCAACAATCATAAAATGCCTCTACAATGTAGAAAGAAGGTGAACTGGCTAGGGACCTCAAAGTGTGAGAAAAACACCACTGTGAGTTCACTGGTTTTCCTTTTATCTCCCAAATATCCACAAGTGGGCACCAGGGTAGCCTGCAACTTGGAACCACCAATAGAGATAGACAGAAACAAACAAATAAGGACAATCTGCTTTCTGGCCAATCAATTGTGAAAAGGGAGCTTAGCAGACCCAGAGAGAAATAGATTCCCCAATCCCTACCCAGGACAGTGGGGGACCCAACCCACCATCGCATCAGTCAACATCAGCAGAGTCTCCACCCCAGACTCAGATAGCAGTAGGCCAGATCCACCACAGGGGCAACTAAGTCCCAGTGCCACATCTGGGGCAACATCCAGCAAAACTGCCCTTAACAGCAGCCAAACTGGGGACTCACACCCACCAGTCAGCCTAAGTAACATGTGTACAGATCAAACAGGAGTTCCCAGGGTGCCAGAAGAAAAAAGCAGGAGAGACCAGCACTGCAAGAGCTCTGAAAACTAAATTATCATAAGAATTACACAGCTCACAAAAGTAGGCCAGGGCCTACACACTAAACCTAAATAGAGTAACTGCCTACTAAAACAGAAGATTAAACAGAACCAAGAGTATCCAACATTAGTATCCTAAACATCCAAGATACAATAAAAAAAAAACAATAATCACGTGATACCAAGAATCAGGAAAGACACACTTTAATGAGAAAAGACATTCACACACTGATGCCAACACCAAAATGAATCATGTTGGAGAATTTTAAAGCAGCTAATATAAAAATGCATCAACAACTAAGAATTCTTTTAAAATAAATTTAAAAACTTAAAAATCTCAGCCCTGGCCAGTTTGGCTCAATGGTTAGAGCGTCGGCCCGCAGACCAAAGAATCCTGGGTTCGGTTCCCACTAATGGCACATACCTGGGTTGCAGTTCATCCCTGGCCCCAGTTGGGGTCCTGCGGGTGGTAATCGGTTGATGTGTCTCTCTCACATGGATGTTTCTCTCTCTCTCTCTCTCCCTCCCTCCCACTCTGTCTGAAGATACATGTAAAAATATCCTTGGGTGAGGATTAAAAAAAAAAATTTTTTTTTAATCTCAGCAAAGGCCCTGGCTGGTTTGGGTCAGCAGTTAGAGCGTTGACCTGCGGTCCAGAGAAACCCAGGTTTGGTTACCACTAAGGGCACATACCTAGGTTACAGTTTGTCCCTGGCCCTGGTTGGTTGTGTGGGTGGCAGCCACTTGATGTGTCCCTTTCACATCGATGTTTCTCTCTCTCTCTCTCTTCCTCTTTCTCCCTCCCACTCTATCTGAACAAAAAATGGAAAAATGTCCTCGGGTGAGGGAAAAAAAAAATCTCAGCAAATAAACACAAGTTATAAAAAAGTACCAAATGAGCCCTGGCCGGTTTGGCTCAGCAGTTAGGGCATCAGCCCATGAACCAGTGAGTCTCAGGTTTGATTCTGGTCAAGGGCACATACCTTGGTTGTGGTTCATCCCCAGCCCTGGTCAGTCATGCAGAAGGCAATCAGTTGATATGTCTCTCTCACATAGATGTTTCTCTCTCCCTCCCTCCCTCCCACTCTATCTGAAGATAAACAGAAAAATATCCTCAGGTGAGGATTAAAAAAAAATAATAATAAAAAAAATTAAAAAGTATCAAATAAAAATTATACAATTCCCAAAATAGTTTCCTCAATCTAAACAAATGAGAGAAAATAGACCAAAACAAAACAAAACAAAACAAAAAACCTCAGGGAACAGTGTGGATTAAATAATAATAAAAGATCAAAAGTCTACGTGTCAGATAGAATAATGCTCCTCTCCCAAGATGCACGTGTCTTAATCTTTGAAACCGTGAATGTTACCTTACATGGCAGAACTCTGCACATGTTAAGTTACACTAAGAATGAGAAGGTTATCTTGGACTATCTGGGTGGGCCCAATTTGATTACAAGGGTCTTCATAAAAAGAAAGCAGAAGGGTTAGAGAAGGATGCGATACCCTGAAAGCAGATGCCAGGATGATAAAAGTCATGAGCCATGAAGCAAGTACTAACACATGAAACAACATGGGTAAACCTAGAAACCATTATGCTATGAAAAATAAAAAATCACAAAAGACCACATACTGTATGACTCCATTTACATGAAATGTCCAGAACAGGCAACTGTATCGAGACAGAATATGGATTAATGGTTGCCAGGGGCTGGAAGAAGAGCAGAATGGGAGTGACTGCTTGCCGGGCAGGATTCCTTTCTGGTGTGATGAAAGGATTCTGAATCAGACAGTAGTGATGGTTGCAAAACACTGTGAATATACTAAAACCCACTGAACTGTACCCTTCTAAAATGGTAAGTTATATGCTATGTGACTTTTATCTCAATTTTAAAAAGATAGAGAAATACTACTTTAACTCATAATTCTACAAATTAGAAAATAAATGGACCAATTCTTTGAAAACAACTACAAAACTCAGCCAATAGGAAATAGGTAATTATTTTAAAAAATCAAACTTGTAATTTAAAAGTTCTAAAAAAAAAATAAAAAAAAAATCACCACACATTCAGTTGGAGTGTCGTCTCATACTCAAAAAGCTGTGGGTTCTGTTCCTGGCAGGGCACCTACCTAAGTCATCAGTTCAATCCCAGGTCTGGGTTCATACAGGAGGCAACTGATCAATGTTTCTCTCTCACATCAATGTTTTTTTCTCTCTCTCTCCCCTTCTTCCTTTCTCTAAAATAATAATAATAATCAACAAACAATAAACATAGTCTCAGGTGAGAGTTTTTTTTTTTATCCTCACCCAAGGACACTTTTGCATTTATCTCCAGACAGAGTGGGAGGGAGAGGATTTAAAAAAAAAAATCGCGACAAATGGTTTCAATGGACAATTTTACCAAACATCAAAAGAAGAATTAAGAGCCATTTTACACAATGCTTTCCAGAAATGGAAGTGAGACACTTCCCATCTTATGTTATGAAGCCAGAATTACCAAAACCAAAACCAGACAAAGACATCACAAGAATACTACAGACCAGCCAGTATCTTTTGTAGACTTAGCTGCAAAATTCTTAACAAAATATTAGCAAATCAAATCAGCAACAGATGACATACCACAACCAAGGGGTATGTATTTCAGGTATGCAAGGTTGGTACAATATTTTTTAAAAATCAAAATCAAAGTAAAACACTATGTAATACACCACTAGGTTCAGGAAGAAAAGCATATGATCATGTTAACTGATGAAGAAAAACACTTTTAAAAAAAATCTAACACTAGCCCGGCCGATGTGGCTCAGTGGTTTAGTGTCGACCCATGCACAAAGAGGTCGCCAGTTCAATTCCTGGTCAATGCACATGCCCAGGTTGTGGGCCAAATCCCCAGGAGGGGGCATGCAGGAGGCCAATCGATGTTCTCCTTCATCAATGTTTATCTCTCTCCCCCTTCCTCTCTCTCTAAAATCAATAAAGAAAAAAAATAAAAAATAAAAAAAACTCAACACAATAAAGATGTCAATACTCCCAAATGGACCATAAAAGGTTTAAAAAAATTCTATCAAAATCCTGGCAAAGTATTTTGTACATATAGAAAGGCTTATTCTAAAGTTTATATAAAAAGGAAAGGCCCTAGAATAGCTAACACAATAGTGAAGAAGGTGAACAAAGGGGTCCATACTACCCAATTTCAAGACTTATATAGCTAACAGTAATCAAGACAGTACAGCACTGGCAGAGGACTACACACACACACACACACACACACACACACACACACATACACACAACAATAGAGAACCCAGAAATAGATTCACACCAATGTACACCATTGATTTTTGGCAAAGGTGCAAAAGCAATTCGTTGGAGATGGGATAACCTATCAGAATGGCTAAAAAAAAATTTTTTTTTAATGATAACACCAAATGCTGGTGAGGACATGATGAAACTGGATCGCTCATACACTGCTGGTGAAATATAAAAACTGGTATAGCCATTCTGGAAAACTCACCATTTCTTTTAAAAATAAAAATGGATTTAAAGAATTCAGAATTTGTATGCTTGGGCATTTATCCCAGAAAAATAAAAACATATGTATACACAGAAACTTGTATATGAATATTAATAGCAGCTTTATTCACAATAACCAAAAGCTGGACACTACCCAAATATCCTTCAACAGATAAATGGTTAAACAAACACAACTAAATTCATACAGAAGAATACTATTCAGCAATAAAAATAAACAAACCACTGATATGCACATTACTTGAAGGAACCTCAAGGGCATTAAAAGCCAATCTCAAAAAGTTACGTATTTTATCATCCCATTTATGTAACACTCTTGAAATAGTAAACATAATAGACATAGAACAGATTAGTGGTTGCCAGG